CACACACACAAACAAACACACACACACACACACACACACACACACACACACACACGCACACACACACACACACACTGTAATGGCCTCTCACCACATTTTGACACACATAATCCTGACTCCTTGTTGAAGAGTATTGTGTTCTCAGGGCAGAAGCAGCCTTCTGTGGGCACTGTTATGCTCTGCATAGGCCTGGAATTCAAATATTATTTACAGCTTATTACACACAATACATTTATATCACATTAAAATTTCATCCTAGGCTGTTTTAACACTGCAATCCAAGGAGGGTGTCAGTGTTTTTACTGTAAGCACTCATCCAAACTTTTGACTCAACTGCATGTGTAATGTGCAAAATATTTTGGCATGCTCATCAGAAGTAAACAATAAGTAGTAGTAAACGATTTCAGCAGATATTGTTTAACTCTTAAACTGTACAATAATGCTATCTCCTATCTCCTACCCATGTATATTTGTCATTAATCAGCACTGAATTTTGTCTTTCCACAATGGTCTAAATTATTTCAGAATAAAAGGAAAAAGGGACATAGCCTACCCATCTCTACACGTTGGTGGTTCAGATGGAACACAAGGCAAAAAGATTTTATCTTCTGGACATTTAATGTCTGAGGAAGAAAAGTTAAAACAATTTCTTAATTCAAATCTTTATAGCACCTGCACAACATTCCACTTGAAACAGGAAAATTAGTCTTCAATCAAAACGTATTTAATTTGATAAAATATATTTATACAGATTAAATTAAATCGGTTTGGTATATCAATGAACTTACTGCAATGCTTAGTGTAGTTCCTCCAATGTATGCAGACTCCGACCTGTGAGCAAGCACTTGCATAGCTCTGAAGACTGGCACACACCATGGTGGAGTTGTTCATATTACAACTATCCAATTGACAAGCTAAAAAGAAGTTTTTAGGGGGCACGTGGGAATGGCACGCTTCGAACAGCCTGGGGGAGTTTAGAATGAAGAATAGATGATTGAAAGGACAAATATTACTTTGGAAGCAATCATGCAAAGTTTGTTGCACGTTTTTTTTATTACACCTCATAGAATGCACTCACTTGCTCTCGAGAAGGTTACATTCAGATTGGGCTGGGCATGGTGTCTTTGGCATGGGTGCGGATATATTCAAGACTGGGGGTTTTGGAGTTGGTTGGCAATTTTTGCCATTCACACCACTGGCTGGCCAGTAATCTGCCATCACTTCACAGTCATTGACCAAGATGCCTCCAGGGATCATGCAGTCATCAGCCTGGTTGTTGTTGCATGTTCCTTAGTGAGAATTATTTGGAATAATTTAGATTAATAATGCACAAAAACAAACCTCTTCATACAACAACGGCTTTCCTTTTTTATTTTACATCACCATGCACATATTGTTTTATTAAACAAAATACATTTTTACAGCTTTCACAGTTAGTGAAATATTTACAAAATATCCTTTTATTTATCTGTTCTCCGCTACAACTTATGATTTTATTGTTAAATTACTTTAACCTGATATGACCTCCTTAACCCTTTAAACTTTTTTTTTTAATGTGCTGACTTACCACAGTGGCCTTGTGTGTTGTTTCCAAAATGCTGCAATGGCAGATTGATGCTAAAGCCAAGGGTTCTGAATGTTATATCAACATTCAGCTCTGGAATACTCAGAAACAAGTCTCGTCCTGAGCTTATTACTCTCACACCATGGTGAGCATATGGCAGCGTTAGCTTAACATTGTCCTTCAGAGCCTTATAGAAAAACAGGCAACCACAAAGAAAACCAACACATTTACAATACAGTGCAGACCAAACACATAGTGAAAGTCTTTTCGCAATCTTACTGTAGGTCTCACCTCTAGATCCGCACCTCCAATGTGATTCCTAAGTGTGATGACTTGATCATTGTAAGACACAGTAATGGATCTGGGACAAGATGCATGCTCACCAATATCACAGTAGTTATTGTCAATGTAGATCTTCAAATGGTATTGAGGCCTAATTTCCTCCATTAATATATAAGTGCAGTTTCCTTGATAACTGTAGAAGAGTCCATCAAATGTGATGTAATGTGAGTTACCCCAGCCTTGACAAAAGCCTATGATTAGGAGAGGGTGAAAAATAAGAAAAGGTTATGGACCAAACACTAAAGTTAGTCAGTTATTTCAGTAGTCCTCAGACCCATCTAGCACTACCATTAGCACAGTATCATTTTATTGCTTATAATGTTTATATTTTTTTGTCCTGTTGTCAATGCAGGATCAGGATCTTTAATTTGGTTGGAATTTTGGTTGTAAAAGTGTATTTACAGTTCCAAATCTCATCAGTTGAGTTAGATTAGAGTAGGAAATAAAATTAAGAATGGTAAACCATAGGACTGAGCAGACCCTTTGGTGGAGTGGTGGATAGTGTATGCTTTGGTGGCATAAATTGCATCCACTTCACCTTACGCAATATGTACTTAAAGAATGTAAAATGCTACATGCACAATGAGCCAGGAAAGAGGACATTATTATAAATTTCAGTGACTGATGTCAACCACAAAGTTAGAACTACAGAAGGAACAGTTTACTTACAATCACAGGCATACTGCTGGCAGCATTGGTGCTTATCATAGACCAGAACTGTCGGCTGATGATTTTCACAGGTGATGTTCTGGAGCAGAGGACATTGCAATGGGGCAATCTCAATGACGTCTCCCTTTATGCACTTTGCCATAGTGCAGTTAGATATGCTGAAGGTCTCGTTAGTCTGGAAATATTAAAGAAAGTACTAGAATTAGAGAATCTGATGAAAGGCAAATTGAATGGTATTCATTTGTTGCTTCCTTGGCTATTTCAAAATGGGCATGAAGAACATTCATAAAAAATGTATTCTTGCAAAAACATCGCATTTTGTACTTATAAATTCTTACACTGAAAAAATGATAACCTAAAAAATGTGCTCGATGTGGTAACTGAATCAACCTAAATATATTAGGTTACACCAGCAAAACTAAATTTAAGGGTAAGATCAGATAGGAATAGTTCTTTAACGTAATAATCACAGGTTACCACTTTTTACAGTGTACTATGAAATGACACGTTTGTGTAATCAAAAACAGAATGAATGTATATGTTAAATGCATATGTATATTTTACAGTTTTGTTCCATTTAGGACAGTCATATTGTGGAGCAGGTGTAGGTGATATAGGTGACGGACATAGCTCAGTGCTGTTCTGAATTGCACAGGTTATGGAGCAGATCATGGTGAGACAAATCCCTGAGCCAATGTGCTTCTGATCCAATATTGACTCTCCTATAAAAAAGGGAAAGTAATCAGAATTGAAACAACAGAACTGTTGGAAAATTTCAGACAATTGTAGAAAATTTAAATGGTTTGACAATTCAATTTACAGTTACTAACCAGGCTTATATTGTCTTCCTTGAACTACACAAAAACACAGTGTAGTGCTCTGACTTGTAGATGTAGGTGTAAACGGTGTAGAAACAGTTGTTTTAACAATTTGTGGATAATTCAAAGGGGGAGTTGTGGTATGTCCATGGACAATAATTATTGGTGTGTTAGTAGAGGAGGTACTAGTAGATGTAAATGTTAAAGTAGGTGTTGTGGAACTAGTTGTACTAGTTTTAGATGGTATTTCTGTTGCGGTAGGTGGTGTATGAGTAGTTGTAGTAGTGGAGGTGGTTGTATATGTTGAAGGTGTTGTGCCAGTAGTTGTGCTAGTTGTAGATGGTGTTTCTGTTGAAGTAGGTGGCAAAGGAGTAGTTGTAGTAGTGGAAGTTGTTGTAAATGTTGAATGTGTTGTGCCAGTACTTGTACTAGTTGTAGGTAGTGTTTCTGTTGACACAGGTGGCGTAGAAGTAGTTGTAGTAGTGGAAGTGGAAGTGGTTGTAAATGTTGAAGGTGTTGTGCCAGTACTTGTACTAGTTATAGGTGGTGTTTCTGTTGACACAGGTGGCATAGGAGTTCTTGTAGTAGTGGAAGTGGTTGTAAATGTTGAAGGTTTTGTGTCAGTACTTGTACTAGTTGTAGGTGGTGTTTCTGTGGACACAGGTGGTGTAGGAGTAGTTGTACTAGTGGAAGTGCTTGTAGATGTTGAAGGTGTTGTACCAGTACTTGTACTAGTTGTAGGTGGTCTTTCTGTTGACACAGGTAGAGTAGTTGTAGTAGTGGAAGTGCTTGTAAATGTTGAAGGTGTTGTGCCAGTACTTGTACTAGTTGTAGGTGGTGTTTCTGTGGACACAGGTGGAGTAGGAGTAGTTGTAGTAGTGGAAGTGCTTGTAAATGTTGAAGGTGTTGTGCCAGTACTTGTACTAGTTGTAGGTGCTGTTTCTGTTGACAAAGGTGGCATAGGAGTAGTTGTAGTAGTTGTAAATGTTGAAGATGTTGTGCCAGTACTTGTACTGGTTGTAGGTGGTGTTTCTGTTGACACAGGTGGCGTAGGAGTAGTTGTAGTAGTGGAAGTGGTTGTAAATGTTGAAGGTGTTGTGCCAGTACTTGTACTAGTTGTAGGTGGTGTTTCTGTTGACACAGGTGGCGTAGGAGTAGTTGTAGTAGTGGAAGTGGTTGTAAATTTTGAAGTTGTTGTGCCAGTACTTGTACTAGTTGTAGGTGGTGTTTCTGTTGACACAGGTGGCGTAGGAGTAGTTGTAGTAGTGGAAGTGCTTGTAAATGTTGAAGGTGTTGTGCCAGTACTTGTACTAGTTGTAGATGGTATTTCTGTTGACACAGGTGGTGTAGGAGTAGTTGTACTAGTGGAAGTGCTTGTAGATGTTGAAGGTGTTGTACCAGTACTTGTACTAGTTGTAGCTGGTGTTTCTGTGGACACAGGTGGTGTAGGAGTAGTTGTAGTAGTGGACGTGCTTGTAAATGTTGAAGGTGTTGTGCCAGTACTTGTACTAGTTGTAGGTGGTGTTTCTGTTGACACAGGTGGCATAGGAGTAGTTGTAGTAGTTGTAAATGTTGAAGGTGTTCTGCCAGTACTTGTACTAGTTGTAGGTGGTGTTTCTGTTGACAAAGGTGGCGTAGGAGTAGTTGTAGTAGTTGTAAATGTTGAAGGTATTCTGCCAGTACTTGTACTAGTTGTAGGTGGTGTTTCTGTCAACACAGCTGGCGTAGAAGTAGTTGTAGTAGTGGAAGTGGTTGTAAACGTTGAAGGTGTTGTACCAGTACTTGTACTAGTTGTAGGTGGTGTTTCTGTTGACACAGGTGGCGTAGGAGTAGTTGTAATAGTGGAAGTGGTTGTAAATTTTGAAGGTGTTGTGCCAGTACTTGTATTAGTTGTAGGTGGTGTTTCTGTTGACACAGGTGCCATAGGAGTAGTTGTAGTAGTGGAAGTGGTTGTAAATGTTGAAGGTGTTGTGACAGTACTTGTACTAGATGTAGGTGGTGTTTCTGTTGACACAGGTTGCGTAGGAGTAGTTGTAGTAGTGGAAGTGCTTGTAACTTTTGAAGGTGATGTGCCAGTACTTTTACTAGTTGTAGGTGGTGTTTCTGTGGACACAGGTGCCGTAGGAGTAGTTGTAGTAGTGGAAGTGGTTGTAAATGTTGAAGGTGTTGTGCCAGTACTTGTACTAGTTGTAGGTGGTGTTTCTGTTGACACAGGTGGTGTTGGACTAGTTGAAGATGGTGTTTCTGTTGACACAGGTGGCGTAGGAGTAGTTGTAGTAGTGGAAGTGCTTGTAAATGTTGAAGGTGTTGTGCCAGTACTTGTACTAGTTGTAGGTGGTGTTTCTGTGGACACAGGTGGTGTAGGAGTAGCTGTAGTAGTGGACGTGCTTGTAAATGTTGAAGTTGTTGTGCCAGTACTTGTACTAGTTGTAGGTGGTGTTTCTGTTGACACAGGTGGCGTAGGAGTAGTTGTAGTAGTGGGAGTGCTTGTAAATGTTGAAGGTGTTGTGCCAGTACTTGTACTAGATATAGGTGGTGTTTCTGTTGACACAGGTGGCGTCGGAGTAGTTGTAGTAGTGGAAGTGGTTGTAAATGTTGAACGTGTTGTGCCAGTACTTGTACTAGTTGTAGCTGTTGACACTGTTGACACAGATGGCATAGGAGTAGTTGTAGTAGTTGTAAATGTTGAAGATGTTGTGCCAGTACTTGTACTGGTTGTAGGTGGTGTTTAAGTGGTTGTAAATGTTGAAGGTGTTGTGCCAGTACTTGTACTAGATGTAGGTGCTGTTTCTGTTGACACAGGTGGTGTCGGAGTAGTTGTAGTAGTGGAAGTGGTTGTAAATGTTGACGGTGTTGTGCCAGTACTTGTATTATTTGTAGGTGGTGTTTCTGTTGACACAGGTGGTGTAGGACTAGTTGTAGTAGTGGAAGTGGTTGTAAATGTTGAAGGTGTTGTGCCAGTACTTGTACTAGTTGTAGGTGGTGTTTCTGTTGACACAGGTGGTGTCGGAGTAGTTGTAGTAGTGGAAGTGGTTGTAAATGTTGAAGGTGTTGTGCCAGTACTAGTACTAGTTGTAGGTGGCGTTTCTGCTGACACAGGTGGTGTAGGACTAGTTGTATTAGTGGAAGTGATTGTAAATGTTGAAGGTGTTGTGCCATTACTTGTACTAGTTGTAGGTGGTGTTTCTGTTGACACAGGTGGTCTAGGAGTTGTTGTACTAGTGGAAGTAGTTGTAAATGTTGAAGGTGTTGTGCCAGTACTTGTACTAGTTGTGGGTTGTGTTTCTGTTGACACAGGTGGTGTAGAAGTAGTTGTAGTAGTGGAAGTGGTTGTAAATGTTGAAGGTGTTGTGCCAGTACTTGTACTAGTTGTGGGTTGTGTTTCTGTTGACACAGGTGGTGTAGAAGTAGTTGTAGTAGTGGAAGTGGTTGTAAATGTTGAAGGTGTTGTGCCAGTACTTGTACTAGTTGTGGGTGGTGTTTCGGTTGACACAGGTGGTGTAGGAGTAGTTGTAGTAGTGGAATTGGTTGTAAATGTTGAAGGTGTTGTGCCAGTAGTTGTACTAGTTGTGGGTCGTGTTTCTGTTGACACAGGTGGTGTAGGAATAGTTGTAGTAGTGGAAGTGGTTGTAAATGTTGAAGGTGTTGTGCCAGTACTTGTACTAGTTGTAGGTGGTGTTTCTTTTGACACAGGTGGCGTAGGAGTAGTTGTAGTAGTTGTAAATGTTGAAGGTGTTGTGCCAGTACTTGTACTAGTTGTAGGTGGTGTTTCTGTTGAGGTAGGTGGCAAAGGAGTAGTTGTAGTAGTGGAAGAGGTGGTAAATGTTGAAGGTGTTGTGCCAGTACTTGTACTAGTTACAGGTGGTGTTTTTGTTGACACAGGTGGCGTAGGAGTAGTTGTGAATGTTGAAGTAGGTGTTGTGCTAGTAGTTGTATTAGTTGTAGATGGTGTTTCTGTTGATGTTGTGCAGGGTTTCTGTGTTGTGATCACAGTGGCATTTATACAAACTGCATAATAGCACATTCCCATGTCATCCTTAATGTTGTAAATGGTGTCATTGTGACCATATTGTTTTCCACCATAGTTACAGCACCCTGTAAGATGCAAAACAACATATTTTTAGATTATTGTGAGTATTAAAATACATAAGGAAAAGAAAATCGTTACTATTTGTCAGGATTTAAACTACAAATGTTTTTTTCTGTGTTTAGTGTTTCACTTACCAGGTGTTCGAAAACATTTTATATTGCCATGTTCATTACAGATGCTGTCAAAAGAATGTCACATATTAGGTAAGTTGAATTAGAGTAACAGGTGGAGGAACCACCCACAGAAATGTATGCTTTATATACTTTGTCAGGGTCTACATCATGGTCCATACCACTCATGACAGGACTTATCAGTTGGTATATTCTCTTCAGGCTTGTACTCGATTCCATTGACATAGCACGTGGGAATACACTCTTTCACACAGACCTGATTCTGCTCATCAAAAATAGGTTTGTCCTCTGGACATTTTGGATAACATCCTGCATTAAAAAAAAAAAAAATGGCAGGTTCATGAACATTTCTACGTGGCCCAGTATCAATGGTCCCTAAACTTAGCAATCATTAAAAAATGTTTAGCACTGCATATAAGTCCAAGAAACATCCGTTGTGTACTATGAATACTCAGTCTTCGAAAACTCACCTTCCAGGTTGGGTAAAGTGTTATTGCAGATATTAAGAGGGTTGCGACAGGTTTTGTAGCAAGGTATACCACAAGGATTATAATGCCATGTGCATCCTTCTGGTTTATTGTAGTAGTCACAGTACACAGCTGATATGGGAATATGGACATAAGTATGAACACATACACACAGAGTAAATTAAATACAGTAAAAGCAATGGCTGAAGATTCTGAATCTACATGAAAATTCACATTTGGATATTACAGATTTAGGATGTGCACAAGAATTAAAGATGCTTACGGCAGATCTCAGGGGTTCTCCAGTCCACACAAACACCTGCCTCATTGCAGGCTTGAGCATAAGCTGCAAACAGAAGCACTCACAATCTCCACCTGTGTCACATGCACACGAGTCCTTCACACAGTTCTCATAATATGGGTTTGGATCCACCTGTGGGAACAAGCATTTCCATCCTTTATGCTGAATTCCTGTATACCACATTATAGGAAACTTCCTTTATTGATTTAAAATGCTTTCAAACTTTACCTTGTTATGGCAATGTTTCAAAGCACCTTCACGGTCCTTTATGATGCTACATTGTAGTTTTGCCCATGGCTCTCGTTCAAGGTTCTTAAAGCATGGGTCAAAGTCTGGTGCAGCATCAGGGCAGGTGCCTAACACTTTCCAGCTGTCGGCAAACTCCATTATATCTGTGGTTTGCAAACTGCCTTGAGTAGTGAAGTCATCTTTTCCATTCCCATTGAAATTTCCACATAGTCCACAAACGCCTCCCTGTGAAAATATAAAGATCACATATCTCTGGAGTTCGGTCACCAACATTAATATCTTCTCTGTTTATATTGGTTACTGTACTTATTAAAACTTTGGAAACATTACAGTTTTTATATATTTTTAATTAAGTCTCCTATGCTCACCAAGGCTGCATTTAATTGATCAAGATACAGTAAAAACAGTAATATTGTGAAATATTATTACAATGCAAACTAACTATTTTCTATTTGAATATATTTTAAAATGTAATTTATTCCTGTGATGCAAAGCTGAATTTTCAGCATCATTACTCTTGTCTTTAATGTCACATGATCCTTTCAGAAATCATTCTAATATGCTGCTTTGTTTTGTGGAAACATTTTCAGTATTCTTTGATGAATAGAAAGTTAAAAGAACAGCATTTGTTCGAAATAGAATCTTCTGAAGGATCATGTGACACTAAAGACTGGAGTAATTACGCAAAAAAATCAGTTTTGCATCACAGGAATAAATTACATTTTAAAATATTTTACAATAAAAAAATAGCTATTTTAATTGCAATACTCTTTCACAATATTAGTGTATTTTCTGTATATTTTAACAAAAATGTTGAGCATAAGAGACTTCATTAAAACATTTAAATATTGTAATATTTCCAAACTTTTGAAATACTGTATTTATGCAGTATGCAACCATGGAATAAATTCTAAATCATGCCTTAATTCAGCTCACCATGTGTTGAGGTTGCAGAATGATGCGGACAGTTGTTTTGCGGTCCCACAAAACTGTCAGTCCAATGTCAGCATCAATGACAAGGTACATCCCGATGTTTGTCTTGTTGTAATTGATCTGTGGGCCACTTTCCATATCAAAAGCTGTTACAGTCCCACCATAAAGCTCTAGCTTAGTTCTCTGTAAGAGTTTGTAAGATAAATAAAAAAAACTAATTTCAGAATTAATTTATGATAATGTGGAATAGATACGAAAGAAATCCTTTGTTTTAACAGTAAATGCAATGTGTTGTATTGAAATTTGCATGTTATTCGGGTTTGTTCATACAGAGATCATATAGAAACCTAATCTTACCCCCAAAAGGATGACAACAGCCTTTGAGCATGTTGTCCCTGTTGTGCCACAAGGAATATTCTCAGTGATTACATGAAAAATTCCTGTCTTATTTCCACATTTATCCTTAAAAACAAGAGGACATTACATTACAAACAACAACAACAACACAAAAACATACATTATGCCACCCCTCTTGCTGCCTCCTGATTAAAGTGGTTTATTTGTAATAATAAAAAAGTATTATACTAAATGCCGTAGTGTCACTATGATAGCAAGTCGTATGTCTCATAGGCACAGTAAAGGTGCACAGAAAATAAAAGTACTTGTCTGGTGGTACCTGAGCAGCTATATAACTGCACTCTCCCCTGAAGCCGAATCTCTGCTGGTCGAAAGTTTTATAATGTCCGCTTCCATATATTGTGCAGATGCCTGGACAGATTTTTTTTGTGCATGTCCATGTTCCGTGTTGACAAGTGCTGTAACAAAGTAATACAGAAAGTGGACTTGAATCTATGTGAATCCACAGTATGTTCTAAAAACCCAACTAGTTGATATCTTTTTTGGGATTACATGCATTGATAGATGTTTGTATCCAAAGTGAACTACATTCAATTCAAGGTATACATTTTATAATATTTATTTCATCATACATTCCATGGTAATCAAACTTTTAACCTGCTAGCCTCTACTATTTGTGACCCTGGACCACAAAACCAGTCATAAGGGTCAATTTGGTGAAATTGAGATTTATGCATCATCTGAAAGCTGAATAAACCAGCTTTCCATTGAAAATGTGAAATTATTTGAAAATCTGGAATCTGAGGGTGCAAAAAAATCAAAATATTGAGAAAATCGCCTTTAAAGTTGCCCAAATGAAGTTCTTAGCAATGCATATTACTAATCAAATTAAGTTTTTATATATTTACGGTAAGAAATTTACAAAATATCTACATGGAACATGATCTTTACTTAATATCCTAATGATTTTTGGCATAAAAGAAAAATGGATAATTTTGACCCATACAATGTTTTTTTTGGCTATTGCTACAAATATACCCCAGCGACTTAAGACTGGTTTTGTGGTCCAGGGTCACATTTGAGTAACAGGAATGCCCAGAGTCAGACACCAGGAGGGGAGGGCATGCGGCTCCAGTTATAATAAGAAAAAAAAAAGTGGTGGGGTCTGTTTTTGAAAAATATACATTGATATTTTAGTAGAATTATCCAAGTGTAGATTCTGTGTGGGTCTAGTATTATGGCTTAGTATTCAATGTAACTTTACAAAAAGTGCTAATTAGCCGTGGAAAAGACTGTAGCTTACACACCAGTTATTGCAGTCTACGGTTATCTCAGTCCCTGGTGCATAAAACTGTCCATTGTGAGGACAAGGACAGTCATAAGGTTTAACACAGTTTCCTCTGCCATCATCCAGTAGACCTGCAGGACACTGGCAGCCAGATTCACAGTCCTGCGAGAACTGTGGGTGTGGTTGGATGAAGAAGATCAGAGACAGCAAAGTAGAAGAGAGAGAAAGAGAGAGAGAAAAAAAATAGTTACTGACAGATCTAGGGCAGTAAATATTTGAAAAGCATTTTATAATCAGTGTACAAAAAAGGTTAACTAGCACTTTCCACAAATAGGGAATAACTAAACATGTGACCCTGGACCACAAAACCAGTCTTAAGTCGCTTGGGTATATTTGTAGCAATAGCCAAAAAAACATCGTATAGGTCAAATTTATCGATTTTTCTTTTATGCCAAAAATCATTAGGATATTAAGTAAAGATCATGTTCCATGAAAATATTTGGTAAATTTCCTACCGTAAATATATCAAAACGTAATTTTTGATTAGTAATATGAATTGCTAAGAACTTCATTTGGACAACTTTAAAGGCGATTTTCTCAATATTTAGATTTTTTTGCACCCTCAGATTCCAGATTTTCAAATAGTTGTATCTCGGCCAAATATCAATGGAAAGCTTAGTTATTCAGCTTTCAGATGATGTATAAATCTCTATAAATTGACCCTTATGACTGGTTTTGTGGTCCAGGGTCACATATTATACAAACATTTTCAATGAGGTTCTACATTTTTGCAACCCTGTTTTAAGTTGCAAAACCAATATTTGAGACATATCTAAGATTAAAACCCTGAGTTCTGTATTTTTTAATTCTAGAAAAACATAGTTCTAAAAAACAAGGTCATTCTAAAAAACACAAGAATCTAAATGTATCAAATTAATAAATAAAATTAATTCATATTTTTATCATTGGTACATTTGCCAACTCTATTTTGATATATTTGCTAAAATTGGTATTAACAGAATTCATTCCATTTCTAAAAGAGAGACCAGGCTTTTTTCACACTGTAGTGGACATCTCTGAGGATATGTTTAATTCTGAAATAGGCACATTAATTGAAGTTCTGGTTGCAATAAAACCTACTGAAGTTAATGAAAATGAGATCACTTGGCTTATGATATGGCATTGTGCTACTGGAGTGTTTTAGTAACTATCAATTAGCACTGGAAAATACTTTTAAACTACCTCTTCAATCACTGCCAGGTGAAAAGCTCCTTTATTAGCAGGATAAAGGAGAAATGATAAAAGACAGATTGGAAACTGGGCTTACACAATCAATTTCCTTTTGCATACAAGTCTGTGCACACAACAATCCATGTTCATCTGGACGTGAGGTACTGCAGTTGAAGAAAATCTTTGGAGGAGTACACTCTGCAAAAGATACCAGACAGTGACTCATAGGAAAGAGTTTTATATTGGTAACCATATTTGGAGACGTAAGAACTAAAGCTAAAGTTAATAAACTTTAGAGTTTATTTCTAAACAATGGTCAGCCAATTGTTTCACTGTGCAAACATCTGATAGGATCATTCTTTTTGTGTGACCATAATTATAGTTAACTCAATATAATTAATTCTATACGTTAACATCACTCGTGGCATCATTTATATCACCACACATTCCCTTAACCTGATTAAAGTTCTGGGTGTAAAAGAGAGGTATCCAAAAGTGTTTTTTCTTACCCACAATTGGAGGTTTCCAGGACAGACAGCGGAATGTTCCATTTACACAAATACTGGAGAGAAATTTTTAAGATTTTAAGATCACAGTTTGGAAAGTGTATATTTTAACAGTTTTAAATCTTTACAACTACTGCATAAAACTAATGTCATCCGCTCACCAGTGTTCATTCTTAATGTTGATAGATGTGCCAGGTTGGACTGTCACTCCATCGTTGTAACATGGACATTTTTCCATAGGTACACACAGTCCATTCTCATCCTGGTAGAGTCCCTCTGGACATGCGCATCCGTCAACGGGCACAAAGTCAACGCTGCAGCTTTGGCGCTCAGAGGCGAGAGACAGACAGGTACGCTGACAGCTCTGCAGCTCATAGGAGTAGTTCTGCGAGGCTGGGCAATTCTCTGTATATTTCTCTGAGGGGATCAGTTTGAAAGGGATTGTGTCTTAAAGATGCATGTTGCACTCTACAAAACCAAAACAGAACCAAAAACTCTAACCTAAAAAAACTGAGTGTATGTGTGGATGTACTGCCTGTTAGTCATCCCACTGTCCACACAATGATCGTTTCTCCTCTTTAAATATATATTCAGCTTGTAATATATGTGACCATTATAGAGCATGCCATTTCAGTTAACCATATATTGTAAATGGTCTGATATATAGTAAAGGACAACAACTAACTTTAGTAAATATCTGCTTGACCACTGACCAATCAGAATCAAGTATTCCAGAGCCCTATAATAAGTGAAAAGCTTATTTATGAAATTTATGAAATTTCTAATACCCCAATGGATGGGGTATTAGAAAAGGCCATCTATCCAGATACATTTGTATTATCTTTATTCCATCTTTTACTAGGCTGCTTGCAGCACTAAAAAATTAAATCTGTACCACAAAATATGTTGAAAATCTGTTTTGAAAGAGTCGTGGACTTATATTGAGGATGGCAATAGCTAGTAAAATGGTTGACCTTACTGATTTATATTTATGCATTTATTGCATTTTTTCTGAATTCACTTCTAACATAAAGTACACTGTCATTGGACCTCTTTTTTTTGGGGTAATTCTAATGGCAATTCTTATAGATGCTTTCATTTAACTGAAGTTGTTACAAAACACCTTGAAATACAATAGGATGTATTAGTTTTTACCTCAGTCTCACTTCCCCAAGTTATATTTTAAATATAGGTTAATTGTTTGGCATTCTGTGTTTTGTCAGGGATATGAGGGAAATTGTGGGTTTATATAAGGGATGTTTTGCCCTAGTTACACCTAAATCCAAAAATTCTTTAAAGGGGTGGTTGATTGCGATTTCACTTTTTTAACGTTAGTTAGTGTGTAATGTTGTTGTTTGAGCATAAACAATATCTGCAAAGTTACTAAGCTGAAAGGTCAATGCAAACGGAGATATCGTCTAATCAGGATAAAACCATATATTAAAAGCTAACATAAGCAGTAGCATCTACAACAGCGTATCTAAAAGTATCCTCTTCAATAATATCCTCTGCTTCTCAATCAGGCTCAAAATGATAAGCGATATTAACGATGTCGTTGTTTACAATACAACCGGGGCACATGCCGCTGAGGTGAGGGGCGGGACGTTTAGACGCGCACTAGAGGCGGTTTAGCCAATCACAACACACTGGGCTAGCTAACCAATCAGAGCCCATCGCCTATTTCTGAGGGTGGGGCTTCATAAAAACAGGAAAAGATCAGCCCGTTTCTCAGAGAAGGGACAGAGCTGTGTGGAATAAAGGTAAATTATGTGAAAAATAATGTTTTTTTTTTTAAACGAAGAATTAACATGTTAGACTGCACCCCATAAACACAATCAAGCCTAGAAAAAACCCAGTGAACCACCACTTTTAAGTTTAGATGATGCACATATATCTGTCTAGCAAAAGAATCTGGTTTCGGCCATCTTACCACACACGATTTCTCTCCAGCCTTGGAGGATTATTCCTTTAGCTGCACAGGCCCGGGCATATGAGGAGAACACCGTACACAGACAGTCCTCACTCTTCTCACAGGTACAGCTGGAGTATTTGCATCTCTGAAAGCACATAGACACGTTGTGTCACTGCATGTTGTGGAAAGCAGGGTAACGTTCATTACAATTTGGAAAATTAGTCATACTTTGTAGTAGCTGTCTGGATTGACACTGGCGTGACATTGGGCAAAAAGGCTCTCCTTTTTCTTCATCTGGGAACACCAGTACTCAGCAAAGTGCTCTAAAGGCATCGTAACATATGGTGTTACAAGTACACAAGCTAAACCATCCTATACAAGTATAACACAAAGTAAATGGTCTGCCATCTATGCAAAAAGTCTCTCACCGCTGTCACTGCTGTAGGAACAGGGATCGCTACTGTAGGAACAGGGGTCGTCCATTCTCTCAGTACGGTCGGGGCAGTTGGTCTGGGCCTTCCAGGCGTTTGCGAAGGAAACCGCTATACCCTCCACCACTCCCTGAGGGGTCTTCAGATCATCTGACAGCACTTTGTTAAAATTTCCACAAAGACCTGCGCATATTAAATTTTAAATATTATTACGCTTTAAATAAAAAGACCCCCAGTGTTCAAGGCTATGCACGAAAGGCACATCACTGGTAATCTGATGTATTCACTGCTTAATTCAAATTCAAGATTTCATATGTTGTTTTTTGAAAGTTCTCACCACAAGTCTTGCCCTGGAAGCTTTGGTCCACGGTGATGTACGCCTGCATAAGAGGCACCAGCTGTACCTGCACCTGCAGCCCAAAGGTGGTCTGAAGCATGATGTGAAACGATGACGGCATGAACACCGTGAAGTCAGCTGAGAGAAAACAGTCGAAGAGGGTGAAAAATGCTTCACAAAAATATCAGCCTTCACAAACAAGCTTCAACACAAGCTTCAAATACAGAGCTCCTCTCTCTTACCTGTCATGTAAGGAAGTGAAACTATTGCATTGTGTTCAACTGTACCGTCAGCTTTAATCACTAGACGCTAATGAAGAAAGACATAGTGTCACTGTATGTACATATGTTGAGTAATTTATTAACTGTTAGAAATGGTGATATTACTTCCATTACAAGCAAGAAAAAAGCCAAATCAATAAGATTTTTTGTGTGTGAAGGAATGTACTCACATGGTTTTTGTCATTGTTAAATATCACTTCTATAGATTTCAAGCAGGTGTCAGTATTAAGGCTAACACAAGGAACAATCTGACCCAGTATGGTGAACTTTGACTCCTCAAAGTCCTACAAACACACATGGAGTTTACAGAGTGTAGAATTCATTATTAAGAATTTCATATATTATTTGTAGTGTTAATTAAAATGTCATGACATGAATGAATACAAACAAATTCTAAATTCAAGTGTAAATGTCTTAGCAATTAAATAAGGTGTAGTTAGCAACTAAAACACACTTTTGAGAGCACATAGTTGCAGTCTCCATGGAAAGTGAATTCATTCCCGTCAAAGGTGGTGAAGTGAGATCCTTCTTCTACTGAGCACAGGCCAGGGCCGGGAATACTTGTACAGATCCAGTTTCCCTCCTTACATATGCTGAGTTATGCAATACAATTACAAACAGACACCGTAAACAACAAGCTTTAGGACTACAGTTACATTACAATGTAACAATGTGGTGTAGAGCATGTTTTAGTTAATTGGTTAATTAAAGACATGTAAAAGGAGAACAGAGTGAAATGTGTTTTATTACCATTCCTCGTTATGTTTGTGAAGAACCTCTCCTGTGCTGTAGACGCGGTCATGCTTACACTGACACTCTTCCACCGGGATGCAGCCCATGTTTGAGATTTCATCAAACACAGTTCCTATAACAGTTCAAATACAGTTCCTAAACAGTACTTTTTTTAGTTTTAAAACTGCGTTTTGGGAAAAACTTTATAATTTTATATATCACATATCATTTTATGAAATGTGTCTTAGTGATTGTACTATAAAATCAACATTTATTCTATATGTGGTTCTTAAATCAGCCACATTAAATAAAATTCTGTAAATGATGGCACTAAAATTCAATTAAATATTATGAATTAGGGAATGACCTGGTGGGCAGAAGCAGCCGTCGATGTTGTGTTGCTCACACAGTGTGTTTGTGTCTTTGTGCAAGCATGTGTCCATACAGGGGGAGCCACTTTCAGAATGTACCATATTGTAGGAGCATGCCACAGCTGCATAGGGATTCATAGGAAGACATACATTCTTTACAATGGCAATTAATTAATAATTCAAAAGAACAAGAAATAAAAGCAAATGAAAAGCTCAAGAGAGAAGAATCACGGGACATCCACCAGAGCTCAGTGGTAGTTATTACCGCAGAAGTCAGCTCTTCTCCAGGTCGGCGGAGTTCCTCCAGCATGGGAACACTGACGTGAATATTCAGACAAAGTCGCACAGAGCGTGGAGTTGTCAGTGTCTTCAGGCTGATACAAGCACATATCATTCATACAGGCCTTGATATACGGCTCAGGGTTCAAAATCTTGATACAGGAGAACCAGTCTGCATCTTTTAAAAGGTCTTCACAATCTGCCCGCTGTGGTGATACAGGTACAGTGTGTTTTTAACCCTTATCCTTAGAGGTCGACCGACCCATACAGATAGCTTTTGCAACTTACATGTTTTTCAGACTGGTCTTCTAAATTCTGCTCATCATCTTCTTCAGAGGGATTTTTGCAATCCACCATTGGGTTGGGAACTTTGTGCTTGTTCCCAAACTCAATGTAGCCTACCTCTCGTTCATATCCTAATTCTTTATTGAATAAGATAAGACATGGATTAAACAAAGACACTTGACCTTCTTGGAGATATATGAAATTAGCAATACACAAGTCTTGTCTGTAATTACAAAATTATGATGAAATATGGCAGAAGTCATTCAATTATAGTCAATCAACTCACCTGATTGAATAAACTCATTATAAAGTGGAGCCCCATTGAAATCGCCACACAATCCACATGTGTGATTTGAAAATTTGGAGTCCAACTCCACCTACAACAGCACCACAGGGAAAGACAGCTTTTCAACAACCCCAGCATCATGGCATTAACGGTCAGACTTAATATTATTTTAAGGTTAGGCCTACTGTATAGTTGTATCAGTATTTGCTTCCAGTTCAGTGCACATATTACTGGCCAATATCTACTTACCATTAATCCATCATAAGATACTGTATGAATTATAAATATCTACAGTTCATTTGACTAGTTTACACTAAATTCTGTATTTATAAATGCCGGGTTAATGTTATACATTTTGGTGTCAGATGACTGATTAGACTAACTGATTTGTACAAAAAAAAAAAAGTTGGGGGCAGTCATGGCCTAATGGATAGAGAGTCGGACTTGTAACCTGAAGGTCGCGGGTTTGAGTCTCAGGTCTGGCTGGGATTGTAGGTGGGGGGAGTGAATATCCAGCGCTCTCTTCCACCCTCAATACCATGACTGAGGTGAGACCCTTGAGCAAGGCACTGAACCCCCAACTGCTCCCTGGGCGCCGCAGCATTGGCTGCCCGTTGCTCCAGGTGTGTGTTCACAGTGTGTGTGTGTGCGTGTTTGTTCACTACTCACTGCTGTGTGTGTGCACTTGGATGGGTTAAATGCAGAGCACAAACCAAACCATACTTGGCCACATGTCCTTTCCTTTCCTTGTATCCTAAAACTGACAGGCAAAAATGACTCACCATGACTGCATCCTCTTTGTTCCACATGACAGTAATGCCCATTTTTGAATGGAGTCTTATGTAAATTGTGTTCTCTTCCACAAGAATCCCTGCGACGTGCACGGGCAGCAATTTACTAAATAAAAGAAAAGATTCAAATTAAAACTAATTTACATCTTTATCTATTTTGTGTTTGCTGTGGGAGGAAGCAAGCAGCACTTCAGTTCCCCTGAATCTTACTTTTCTCCATTGACCATGACCTGGTTTGCGGTGATTTCGACGGTGATGTCATTGATGGTAACCAGGACTCTGCTGATGTTTGGGCCAGTGCTGTGTTCTGTTCTCTTCACGTGAACTGAGAACTGGCAAATGAGGCTTTGGCAGTCAGACACCAGGTTATACTCGCACATGCCTGGGAACTGATAAAAGTCCCCATCGAATGTTTTGAAGTGGAAGTTTCCCCACATGCTACAGATGTTGTTGACATGGTTACTGGCACGAACTGGAACAGAATAGCCTAAAAGAGAATGCAAAGACTTACTCCAGTGTTCACATACTGTATAGTATGTTATGTATTGAGCATGGTTTTGCTTAAACTTTTCTATCCTTTGAGATGTTTTATGAAGTTTATAGAATAATATCCACTCGTGAAAAGAAAAGTTGTTTACTCTTGTTTGTTGTTTTTAGTTTGCTTATTAATTATTTTAGTCTTTACATTACATCTATTTATGTGACGTGTCTGTCACAATTATCCCAAGCACTTTTTAAAAATAAAATTTTGCCCATGAATTTAATGCGTTAGGTCCACGTTTCTGCCATAGGATAAAAAAAAAAAAGGTAATTGCAACTTTTTATCTCATAATTTAGACTTTTTTTCCTAGAATAAACAATTCACAATTCTGAGAGAAAGTGAGAACTGCGAGATATAAACTGACTTTTGTTCTCATCAATTCATCAGAATTGTGAAATATAAACTTGCAATTGTGATAAAAATGCCTGAATTGTGAGTTGCAATGACCTTTTTCATTCTTTTATCCCATGGCCAAAATAAGCTTCCATACCTTAAACATACATAAAGCACCAGTTTTACTTGAAATCTGTAAATAATTCTGTAACTTCATAGTTTCTTTGTGAATCAATGTGATTGGTACATCTCATAATCCTTAAACACAATATGTTTACCTGATGTTGCTGTTGTTGTTGGCCACATAGTCAAGTCACTAGAATCTCCCATTACTCCATAATCCTCCATAAAGCCTTTAAACAGAGAAAGACATATACAGTCATGTTGTGTAGCTAATACTGTGAGCGTTTCTTGCAGTAACTAATCTTTTTTTTTTCTAACCTGCTTGTATCAGCTGTTGCCCCACCAGTAGGACAACCCATCTCAGCATCCACATCTGGGACATCCTCACAGCCCCCATGGAGAGAACAACCATCCTCAAGAGCTAATGTGAGCTACTTGCCAAAACTTGTCTTTTTATAGTGAATGCTAGTTTTCTTTGTAAGGATGTAATTTGTGATCAGAAGGAGGAGCCCAGAATATACAGTAACATAGAATTTTAAATAAATGTTTATTGGCCTATAGCTGTTTAAGACTAAACACTTTGTCATGGACAAAACTGCATTTAAACTGACAAAACTCAAACTAAACAAGGATGTGAGTCTTGATGGTGGGGAGGCAACTATTTTCTAGAGAAGTTGCACAGTATAATGCAAAGTTAAACTAATATCTATTTAGCTAATGCTTGTTCTGGGCTAGCAGGATAAATTTGCATTTATTGTACATTTAGGCTATTATTTATTATTAAAGCATTATTATTTAATATGTTATTTTGTCTATTTTTGCTCCACCTATTTTAATAATTAATCACAAAGACACAGCAAGTAACATACTGAATTAAAATACTTAAGTAGAAATATTGAAATAGTATTTTCTTCTTTTAGTGCACTACAATAATCTGTTTTAAAATTTAGAAAAATCTTTCAAATGCTTTCAAGACTCCCCCACTACCCCGTGTACATATAAAAAGGTGCAATACTTCCACTTGCAATAAGTTCTACCAAATGTAAAAAAGTAGCCTGAACAAAGATAATTTTTGTTTTAGTTAATTGGTTAATTAAATTCACTTAGTAGGAGTCAATTTATTGTATTATGTGAACTGAACATAAACATGTTTATGTTTCTAACAGCTGTTTTGTCGATCTTACTTGGATACTCAAGTATTTGTTCAAACTTGTCCAAATGTTGTCCCAACTTTCCAAATTGACTCATCTGAACAAACAATTTTGGGCAAATTGCCAGCATGCATTGCAGCTTAAAAAATGTCATAACTTATTAAAAAATGATCATTGCTACACAGAACATGTAATGTAGAAAATAGTCAAAGTCTTGCAAAAAATAGTCAAAGCCGGAGTTCCAGAAGACCAAATAAGACTTTATTGGAAGAAACAAAGCCGACATGCCAGCTGACCATCTGAATCTGTCTAAGTCCAGACAATTATTTATACAATTTTGTTATCAGTCACTGTCCAATGAGCGTATTGACGATTTTTTGGTGTGTTATTCCTGGTACTTTCTACAAGTATTTATTAGTTTCCTTGGCTTAATTTTAATTGTGGATTTTTTTTTTTGCTTTGTTATTTAACCCTCTCTAGATGACCAAAGGTCCCAGAGGCATATACATTCAGGATTTTTTTTCAATGAGCTGTCAAGATTTTAAAGAGCTTTGCACATCAGATACACATTATTCATTCTCGCACCATTTCCTTTTGTTCCATCTCTTGTGCTGTATCATGTGCTTCCCTTATACTTTTTATGCATGATCACAGTCACCTAGGCCATGTGGCCTACATAGTCAGCCAGGCCGCAAGGCTTCCAAAATGCATCTGGCTCTCATATATAGCAGAATGTCTTACTCAAACATGCAAAATAACTTCCTCAAACGTTATATATAAGATAAATAAAACATTTCATCATTTACTGGCTTAAAATGCACTGCTGTTAGCTGTCATATGGTTAAGAGTTCATATTTTTACTAAATTAACATTTGTTGATCATCACTGTGTTTGAGATGTGTGTTGAGGTATATGCATAATTCATTGCAACAGCTGGATTTAATATATTTTAGGGAAATATGTTTGTCTGTAGTTTGAAAAGGAAATAATGTCCATGTTATATAGTGGGGTTTGTAACAAGGTTTGTAGCTCCTTGCATTGCTAAATGCTAACAATCTTTAGTTGTCTTGACAAGAAATTTTATATTCAATAGACTGCCTATTACACATTAGATAAACAAACACATGAAGTATTTAAGCTGTCAGTTATTAGTTGAGTTAACTCAACAAATTGATAGTAATAGGTTGCCTTTTTCAGACTTTAGAAATCCTGTTTGCTTTTTTTCCATTTTAAGACAGGATCAAACCCATACACCATAGAGTCATTCCGTGGTTGTTAGACTTCCATCGAAAGTCAATATTCAAATATATTTCCTATAGAGTACAAAATGAGATAACTGGAACAACCAGCTGATCCACTGTTGCTTATTTATGCCATCTAAAATCCACACCCTGTTTCATGCCTAATATTTCTTGCTTCTTTTGCATTACGTGCAAAGAAAGAATACTTAAGAGATGTCTTATTAGAATAATCTGAAGGATCATGTGACACTGAACACTGGAATAATGGCTACTGAAAATTCAGTTTTGCATCAAAGAAATAAATTACATTCTAACATATGCTCATTTTCAATTGCACTTAAAAATCCCATCCTGTAATTCCATCTGTAATAATTCTGTAGTTATATATATATTATAATTATACTGTTGGCCCTACCTCTACCGCTTAAATCTAACCATACCACCAAACCTGCCCCTAACCTCAATAGCTGCAAAAGTGTTCAGCAATTCAACATGAAGACAACAGGCACACAATTAAAATGGAAATCTTACGTTTTATCTTAAGTAGAGAATGAACACTCTAAATTACTTCCAGCACACAATTTGTGAGTACTTGTAAGACATTTGGATTTGTAGTGTTTGAAGTGAAGCATTTGGTGCTTGGTTTTATTTTAAGTGCACGCAAGTTGGCACTTTTCTAGGTATTCAAAAATAAAAATAAAAAATAAAATCCAGAAGATTGCAATTGATGCTCTGTATTATGCTTTATTGATTATAATTAATTTAATTGGAAGGAAAAGTACAATATTATATCATGCATTACCAAACTTTGTAAAGAATGAAAGAAATGGCCAGAATCCCCTTTGAGAGAAAACTAAACAGATTATGCTCAGAGTTAACCATATCCATAGATTAAACCACAAAGAAAAAATAAATGGTGCAATATTTGCTTAAGTAATTTTAGCTATTAATAAACTACAGTAATCAGCTTAAATCATTTTGGTTATATTTTTTTAAATGTTTTTTTTTTAATATGACATTTAATTATGTTTAAATCAGCAGTAGTCTTTTATTTTAGTCTTTTAGCCAGAGGTCTTCTGGTCTACACACTCAGTAGAAGTGCATTTGCAGCTCTTTATGTGCACGTAGTCACGAACAATCTCACTGTTGTCGGCACACTTCAGCGTCACATTTTGATGGTTGACGTTCTCCTCCTTGCAACAGGAACAGCTGTGTATCATAGCCTTTGTTTTCATTGAATACCTGTGCAGGTTTCCAAGCAAACATCAGTCAGATGAGTGTAGAATAGTTGGATATGCTATCCTAATATACCCAAAAAGGTTTGGATGCCTAAGGCACACTAAAAAATATATTCATTTTATTGGAGAGATGACAAAATATCAAACCAAAATGGTTATTGCTAACCAATGATGTTTAGAGATTTTCCCAGAGCTAAGTTCACTTTCCTGAGCCGTTTTTGTTTGGAGACCTTTCAGCAGCATGTTTGAAGTCAGTTCCCCCCACTTTTGATTGGCATATTTCTATGTGGTTTCGCAGTACTGCTTTAAAGCATTATTTCTTTTTGTTGTGGGAACTGTTAGATATGTTAGATAAACTAATCTAACATAACATTAACATACAGTGGCATAAAAAGTAGCACGTTTCCTTTAAAGTTTCCTAACATTTCCTAAAGTTATTAACTATGTTTGTGATCAATAGGTGTGCTCATATTCTCACATTGATTTGGTGTCACAGTGGCCAGTGCAGGATGTAACTTCTACATCCTCGATGGAAGTGCAATCATCAACACGCAGACGGGTGACGTTCTTCTCAAGAACACAGTTCCTGGACTTACCTGACACAATAGAGGCAGGTAAGCTTGTGACTGACTCTCAAGAGCAAAACACGCACTGCATTTTAAGTAGTGCCTATTATATTATAACAATTTAACATTTGTTAAATGATCTACATAAACAATACAGGTGAACGAACCCATTAAAAAAAAAAAAATTTAATTGTGTGTCCAGATGTTTTGTATAAAGAATAGCTTACAGATCTGGCAACATCCATCTGAGTCAAATTGCAATGTTCCCTGTAAAAACACAAATAACAGAAAATAAAACATTTACACATTACACAAATATGGTCATGTCTCTCAAAACATTTACCCAATTTTCCAAAACATTTTGCACATTTTTATACTAAAAGTACATATTTAAATAGTGAAAAACTATCATTTTTACTTACAGGCTCACAGTCTTCTGGATTAAATTCAGGGCATTTTTTAATGCTCTCCATCATCACAAATGTGCCATTCACTTCACGGCAGGTAGCAGTCGTACATCTGAACTTGTAACCCTCTTGGTCCTAAACAAAAAGACAGACAGACTATATGAGGACTGAAGAATAGAGCAGATTCGTTGTCTAGTGAACTCAAAGATTGAAGAAAAGCTTAAGAATATTTTCAAAAATACCTTGAGAAAATGTCTGGTGTTGTCTGGCGCATCATAAATACAGACTCTTTGTTTACATGATCCACAGCACTCTCCTTTTTGTTTCAGATATTCAAACCCCTTGAAGTGCAAAAACAAGTTTGAATAATTCACTAATTTTGACAGACTCTAAAAAGAACCAGGGTCGAACTCACAAGAATAATTCAAATTCTTGAAAAGAACGCTCTTTGAAATCATCGTAAATAAGTTCTTAAAGTTAAGATAACCTCCAATTTGTCTTAAATCCACAAAGGTAAGATGTGTGATGCATGTATTAGATAGTTTCAAATGTTAAGCATTATCACATAACGCTAGCTGCCTATAATACATATTATTACTATAATAAAATTTACTATTGTATAGCAAGTAAATACTCCTGTGACAGATTAGATTGTTCGATTTTACATTGTTGTCACAAATTTGGAATTCTTTTTTTTATTTGCATTTGTGCCCATTTTAGTCGCAGTCTGGAGCCCTATGAGAGGCTGCACAGAGAGTACAGCTAAATGTGACAAGATTGAAAGTGGCATCAGTGTCAACTAAATCCGT